AGCGTATAATCTCGACACGTTAATCACTATGCCGCATTGCTACGAGTGCCCTTCGGTCACAGGAGAAATAGGAATTTAAAGGAAGATCAGACATTTTCCCATATCACATTCTGTGGTAGGATTGTCGATCAGGCAAACTTATATTTGCTATAACAATATACTACAGCACATATTTAATGGAAAGGCCAAGTGTGCTCATATTATTGTGGGAAAATCCAGCTACTAGCCATTCACCACCTTAAACAAAATAAAGTGAACAAATCTCATGTAAAGGAGCTCGGAATTTTCGAAGAATCTCTTGATTTACAATTGTTTAGCTCATTTTTATTTTTAGTGAAAGTGTATGATGAGGAGAGTCGAAGATCGACTCCAGAAGACAAGTGTGGATTACTCTCGGCTAATTTTAAATGTATGGTTGACACTGCCTCTGAGATAGGCATACTCACAGACTTAACCCTACATATGCATTTGAATGAGGTATATGGTGGCTTAGTTAGTTTATGAGATTTCTCAATGCAGAATAACGTACTCAATAGAATGGGCACTCAGGGGTATGAAACTAGCATTGATAAGTCCAAAGAATTAAGAAAACGTATAGGTCCTAGTATGTGAGTCGTATCTCTCAAGCTTGTTTAACTATTTACTTAGTTATACTCACTCTTAAGGCAGATCCTCCAAGTTTAAAATCCAAGATCATCAAGGTTTGTTTATTTAGCCACCTCTTCTAATACGTAATTCCAGACACACATGTGGTTAAGATGATGAAATCTCCTTTTGTTAATTCATATCTATAGAAAGGATGACAATAATGAGAACGAAAGCCAACTAAAGACTGGTTAAATTGCCTCCTGTTTCTGGGCCGCTCAACATTCTCTTCACCCTTTAGTCTTTCATTTAACAATAATAATTCTTACTTAATTTCTTACTGGTGCTCCTGATCTTTAATGTTTTGCCTAATTATTTTTGATTTCGATGACCCTCTTAATTCTGCGCTTAGCAGCCAAGGTACCATAATCAGCAAAATCAATATTTTTTATCCAGTCAATCTTGTATCTACGTTCTGTTTTACTTTGAGCTACTTCTGATCGTTGAACCCTAACACAATCAATATACACTTTGGGCTTAGCTACCATTTGACAACAATAAAGTCTCAGTAAAGCTCAGGGAAATTCAGTGTCATTTTCTGATGGAATCAATATTAGAATCGCCAACCAATACACTTTAACCCAAAAGGAAGTGAGCTCAACACTTCTAAACCTTAGT